TGTTCAACGACGATAGACGGAGGATCCGAAGATCACGGCCGTAGATCCCGTAGACCGACTCATGTATGTGGGATCCGTTATCCATCCATAATCAGCATGTGATGAAAAGGATCTGAAACCTGATCATGTGCTGGAGGGCGAGTTTGCTCATTGCTAATCGATGTATGCATTTGAATCAAAAGCATCTGCTTATGACAACGAGAAAGGCGAAAAATACTCGGGGGTAAACACGGGAAGGATGTGGGCCTCGGTGTTGAAGATGTTCTCTGCGCAAAGCGGTCAGAAGGGAACAAACATGACGCTGCCGTGAAGCTTACTGTCTAGAGAGATATGGTCCGAATCATCAAAGAGCAAGTAGAGATACTCTGCAACGGTCATCAGTATCTTCTCACGGCCACCATCGCGTGACTCACTCAAGGTCTCTCCAAGCCAGAACGTTTCCATCCTGTCCACTTGCTTAGGTGGCATAGCTTGAACATCCTCAATACCAGCGTAACCGCCCTTCTCCACACGGCACCATTTGTTGAATGCCTGGAAGATCTCCCATCCCCAATCGCGGTACTTTTGGTCGCCGGTCACTCGATAAGCAAGGAAAAGGGATTCAACAGTCTCTGGGCGAAGGATGTTGCGACCGTCGATCAAGACGCCATTCCTGGGTATCGTCAACACTGCCAAAGCAGGTACAGGGACAAGCTTACTGGTTGGGCTTGATATACCAATCAAGGTCGGCAGCCCGGTCGTCGCTCCATTGTACAAACATGGCGATTTCGGGAGCCAGACCGCTATAGAGGGATCAGCAAAGCCCGCCAGAGACTGAGCAACGTACGTGGCGGTCTCGTGAGTCTTCATACAGCTCTCAACAATGCCCTGTCCAACCAAAAAGTCCTCTTCGTCCGCCTTGTCCAGCTTTGTCCAGTCGACTGCCTTCTTTCCACCATCCGTCACACCGAGCAAGAACGATCCACCCAAGAAGCATACAAGGTGGTCTTGCTTGGGCACGACTTGCCAGCTTTGCGTCTGATCTCTGGGATGACGCGCGGGGTGAAGTTCTTGGGTGAAGATCAGGTTGGACTTTTTGGTCTGGCCGATGAGATGTTTTTTGATACCGCCCATGGCTTCGTCGTACATCTGGAACCGACATGAGCAGGTGTGCGCGAGTGGTAGCAAGACTTACGTCGCGGTAGACGGGCTCTTGTCGGTTGGTTTGCAGCCACTGCCTGCTTGGGGTGAGCCGGGACGTATGAATAAGACAAGAAACTCACTTGAGCAGGTATTCGTAGTAAGAGTCGCCTCGCGAGCCCAATCGTATCTCGGAAGCCACGAATTGACCATTGACTGGGTTGATAAAGATGGGAGCGATACCATCAAAGATGGCCTGGTTCCTAATGACTTCCGTAACCTTTTCGGCCTTTTTCCAAAAGATATAGTCTCCAGTGAGGTGGCTCAGGTACTTGAGCTCCAGCTGCAGACTGGCCGCCTCAGCCAAGCTAGCAACACCCTGGTTGTCTTTATCGGGGATACCAGTTCGAGTGGCAAGGTTGATTCCAGACCAAGGAATGCCGGATGGAGAAGAGAAGGCGCCGAGGAGACGCTCGCCGAGGTCTGTGGCGAGGTCAAGGTAGAGAGGCGCGTCGGCCTGAATCTCGGGTGATGCGTGGGTAGACGACATGTAGTGGGCCGAAAGGAGCCCTCCGAGGACCCTGATAGTAGTCTGTAGCCAGTCAATAAACGTCACCTCCGTATTGAACTGACATACCTCGAAAGTGTTGAACTCGGCATCACGATCGAAATGGAGGTTGTCACGAACCCAATCCCTGGCTCGCTTGTACTCGGGGATAAGATCCATCAGAAGAAGAGAGTCGAGAGAGTCAACGATGGTATATCCCACTCCGCCGGTCTTGGTCAAGTTTGAGCCAGTCTGAGAGAGGGGTTGGTACTGCGATGTGGTCAGTCTTGCGTCTGTATAATATCAGAAGACCAACCTCGTCAGCTCCCCAGGCGTGCTTCTCTATGACAATAGTGAGTATGAAACATAGCGATAACGTCTAGACGAACCATAGGGGTGCCAGCTCCACTACCATTGGTGTCAGCAATATGATTTCAACGAGGTCGCAACTCACCTCAAACGCCTCTTTGATGGCGTCCCTTTTCTCCACATCAGCCTCAAGCTTGCCGCCGACCTGAAGTTTCGGGGTATCGGATGGCTTGATTGCACCGAACCGAGTTCCAGTCAGCCGTGTCTGGGGCTTGGAGGAAGGCTTTGATTGAAGTATGGGCGTCAAAGTCTGCCATCGAGTGAGCTCGGGAGGCGCTGTATGTGAGTCATCACTCACCTTGTAGCCAAACCACAGTACGGCTAGAAGACCAAGACACGACAGACCCAATCTGACAGTTCCCATGAGTTGCACCTTGCCGACTTTCTCGTCAATCTATGTTCGGGTCAGCAGCATGAACAGCCCTTGGAACAGGGGGCGTACCTCATCTTTGCTGAGCCTCTTCCCTGGTTTCTCCCCAGCCTTGGTTTGGGCTCCTTTTCTTGACCGTACGTCCGACATCGGCTCTTGCTCGGGATGGTCTGGAAAGTACAATTGTAGTCCAACGATCTCCCGTCGACGCTCGCAGCAGCCGACAGCGCTACGTGGAAAGTGGAGGCAGCGGGATCAAAATCGCGTACCGTCAACAACGCGTCGGTGCCCATCTTCGCGTACAATCACATTCACAGGAGAAAGGAGACCCGGCAGCATGTCGTTATCACGCCCTTCCACTGCATATGATCTCTCAGCACCTCAAGAATCCCTTTTCGATCGGGAACGAGAAAGACTTATCGAGGAGATATCAACGGTCAGTTCCAAGACCTCTACCGTTGCGCTACGCTGACGCCGCCTTGCAGAATTTTGAGGAGCTCATGGGGAATATGAACAACCTGAATAGGACTCTGGAGCAGGTGTATGGTGTGGGAAGAGAGTTTACTACCGTTTCCGCGTTGTGGGGCGTGAGTAATACCCGAATGTGTGAGATGCAGAACTAATCAGTTCACAGCGATTCAGCTCACTTATCAAGGAACAGCAAGTCAGTCGGGCGTAATACTGTACATGCTTGGAATCGACGCTGACAGTAACTGTAGACGGAACTGGCGGCTTCGGCAGACGTTGGCGTCCCGGGCACAGGAGGCGCCAACTTCACAACTAGTACCAATCCTTCTAGATCATGACCTTCTCATTGAATAACCCATCATGTATGTAACAACTACTGTATGTCAAATCCTTTCAGTAGCGCCTACAACTTCTGATCTTGAAAGCAAGGAGGACGAGTACAGGGGTACAACACGTCGAAGGACCAGCTTCTTTCCAAGCGCGTGTATGGCTGGTATGTGACTCATGCAGATATGAGGCGATTGCAAATGCATGGCGCCCCAACAGACATAACATATCCAACGGATCATGTAACACCTGACACCTTGATGCCTCATATACATGCATGCCTCATATACATCTACCGCCTCCCCGTTCACGCCCCCGTGCTTGCCCCCTGTATCTCCGCGGGGCCTGTAATCGCGTAAGCCATTAACACCTCACTGCGCCACAGGATGACTCACCTTCTAGTAGGCTTTAATGCGCCACTTTTTGTTTGATGGAAGGAAAGTCAAGAAGATGTCACACGAGAGGAAGGCCTCGTCTACTTCCTCTTTCAATCTCTTACACACGGCACGCTGACCTTTGTCATCTTTGACATCAAAGCCGTCAACGTAAACTTTGATCGACACGTTGTCTCCGAGCTTCCTGCCAGTGGTGTCAGTCACTGAGGCTATGTTCTTGAAAAAGCTCACAGTATAAACTCTTTGAGCTGCTTCTCGTGACTCCCTTTTCCTTTTTCCACCATCTTCATTCTTGCATACAAGCTCTTGACAGACCATAGACTGCCAAGATCAACTTTGCTCATATTCATGTCGTGCAAGGCGAGAAGATGAGGACCCGCGTAATCGGCAATGCATAGCATCATGAAGTCGACGTCATCGCGAAGGGAGACGTGTCGAACGTCGCTGATGGTTACCGTCGAACCCGTGCGAGCAAGTTGAGGGGCGATATTTTCGTCGTCATCTGGGCTTATGCGGGTGTGCTTGAGAGAGGCGAAAAGCGAGTCGGGTAAATGAAGACCATCGGCTGATGCCATATTATGAGACGAGCCGTTGTGGATGAGTAGTCCATGGAAGAGCCAACATCCTCCAATAGAATAGCGGCAGTCGCAATGGAGATGGTTTTCTTCATACCAGCGCACGGAAGGGCCAGGAAGTGAATACCCCTTCAATGTCCTGAGCGCTTTGAAGCATGCGAAGAGAGCCCCGGCATCTTGGATGGTGACGGTCTCTACGAGACCGTTCAGGTATATACGCCTTGTGACGGGGGATCTTCTCTCCCTCATGGGCATATCCAGCCACCGCGCCTTCTCTTCATCAGACATATCCCCGTCTGCCTCCAGCCCGGGAAAAAGAGGGCCGACATCTCAGAAGTAAGACTGACGCGTCGAAACAAGTCAGGGATGATGTCGGCATAGTGGAGTCGAGAGAGGCCGGCGAGCTTGGCAAGGACAGGCTTCTCCTCGGTACGCCTGAGGTGTCCATAGACGAGCAGTCGCACTTCGTTGGGAAGAGGGTCGAGTGTAGTGAGGGGGGATGTTTGTGCCGGATTGAGCATCGTGAGTGCTGTTGTCGGTGGTATAGGTGTATGCTCAATCAATATAGTTGACTGTACAAGTACGATACATACAACGTCAAAAGCCCACCGCACCATCATTGCATCTGCTGTGTGCGTACGGACGCCAATTAGCCAAGTCACCCGCGCGGCGCACATGGCCTGCTGGAAACGTCGTTTGCGGCCCCCCGGCTACCAAAAAATAAAGACAAAAATAGGGGGGTATGTTCGAGAGCATACTGAACATATGTAGAGCCATAGATGCATACATCAGAAAATGAAAAGATTGGTTAAGCAGCAAAACAAAAAGAAAACCCATGGCGGGGATCGAACCCGCAATCTTCTGATGAATTCTATATTCGTAATAGAAGTCAGATGCCTTAGCCTTTAGGCCACACGGGCATTGGGATATCAGCAAGATTACGCGAACCCTATAAAGCAAAAAACGGGTACTCGAGCTCAGGACACGGCGGATTGTGTGTGTATGTCTGCTCGCTCATTCACTCATAATTCTCTATTCACTGATACAGTCATAGCTGGTGGGTATGAGGGACGAAGGAAAGTTTTGATTAGTGAACGCTGTGATGATATGGGTGGTCGTGGAAGAGAATGGACTCACAATCTGTCATCAATTGGACGCATGCTGCGCCTGTTTATTGCGTCCTTCGTCAGTATAGTTTTCGTAGCATCGTCTCTCCTATCCTTAACAGTAAGCCGGGCTCACTGACCGTCTGAAAGCAGCACGTATTCATTTTGCTTCTATATATGCACAACAGAAAGAACTAATGCGGCCCTCGTCTGTCGTTGTGACCCCCGCTCCACTGCCCAGTTGTACGATTTGAGATCGTGGACATGTGTAGAATCTCCATTCATACAAAAACATACAAATCGGCATAGCTCACTCGTCTTCGAGATCGACGCGCTGCTCTTGAATCCTGGATTTACTTGCACAATGCCACCGTCGTACCAGCAATTACCAAGCCAACTTTCCCTTGGGTCGAGCAGGCATGTCGGTAATCTGGCCACGTCGCATGCTTACATACTCGCAGATAGACAGACGAAAGGAATGACTAAGCCACTACTTGGCCCATAACAGCAACGACCGAGGTTTTTTGGTCTAGCCTTGGTCGTCCTGATGGATGTCCCCGCAGTCAGTCAACGTTGATTGATCACATCGTCTCGTTCAGACATGACATTCGCGCTAATAAATAATTCTCAGGCGCCATTTCTGGCCTTCCCAGGGTGCACGATGCCAAGTATAGGATGGTAAGCAGGGGAGTCAGGGCAGCCCCCCTACAGCCCCCTTACTAGTGTGCGCTGAGACTGGTATGTGGTGCCGTTCATGTCACACTACGCGTAGCTGATGATGTATCTCCTTCAGGGGTATGTGCTATGGGGGATTAGAGCGCATGGTGTTCAACAAAAGCCTGACTTCTTTTCATGTGTATTTTATATCTTGGTGACGACTGTAACATTCAAAACATAATGTACGGCGTCTAGCTGACGTTACCCTCTGACGTCCAGCCCGCGTCTGCTTTAACATACGCCCAGCTCTAGCCTGAGTAGACTTGATCACGGCTTTGTGAGGAGAGAACGAGATGAGAGCCCAAGCGCCCGATAGTCACAAGACCGCAATCGTGGAATGATGAACGTGCCCATCCCATTGAGACATACAATCTGGCATAGCTCAGTTGAATTACACAACACCGTTGGTGAAACGGTATCATGCAACTTTGCCATAGTTGCGGCAAGGGTTCGACTCCCTTACGGTGTATGTCTTTTACTTTTTGTGCTGTCACAGCAGGGAGTATCGTCAGGGAAAGCAAAAAAGACAGGACACATGGGCGCAGCGCGTCGCGTGCCTTTTTTGCCGTTAAGCGATTTGATCCCTCGCGCCAGAATTTTGACCAAGTCCCCGCTGTCCCCCATCACCTGTATATGCCCACATATATGAGTATATTCCCCATCCTGACCTCAATGCCGATTGCCTGTACAGGCAATTTCAAAGGTTACAGTCCCGTTCATCCGCTTTTAGTGGGCCAGAAAACATCACCCGATAATCTTCTATAATCTTCGGACTGTCCGCTCGGTCGGCGCCGCGCCGTCCGTTGTCGCTCACTCGCTCTGGTATGATGTCAGAGCGTTCTTCTTTCGCTCGAACTCTGTTCAATGCATCTATCATCGACACTCATTGTACCATGACAACTGTACCCAAGCACATGAAGGCGTTGTTAGTACCGCAACCAGGTGTGTAAGTCAGAACAGCCAAGAAGGGACATTCTTCCTCTCCTCTTCGCCTCGCTCCTGCTGATCAGGGTCGGACAGAGAGTACTATGACCTCCAGAATGTCCCCACTCCCACTCCCAGAGCGACTCAAGTCTTGATACGTCTCCGAGCATCTGGACTGTGTCACACTGATTCGATAGTGCGCGATGGCAGCTTTGGGGCGAATTGGCCGTTGGTGGGCGGTCATGAACCTGCAGGCGAAATTGTGGCGCAGGGAAGCTCAGCCAGTGGGCTGAGCGTTGGCGACAGAGTTGTGGCACTTCTTCCGAGAGACCCCTGTGGTTCGTCCATTCCATTTCCTTCTTGGACGAAAGCGGAGGCCGGCCGGTACTGATATTCATTACGCCAGGCGAATGCCCCGATTGCACTCTAGGGGACTGGAAGTGAGTACTTATCACTTGAGCCACACTTGTGTAGGCTTATAGGGCCAGATATTGCAAGAAATCCAATCTTGGAGGCATCAACGCCGACGGCTATTTTAGCGAATACGCCGTCGTAGAAGCCAAGTTCTGCGTGCCATTGCCAGCCAACATGACATTCGAACAAGTCCGTGATTCTTCTTTGCATACCCCCCAGATGCTGACCATGCTCAAGGCTGCTCCGCTAAGCTGTGCTGGTGTCACAGTGTATGCGGGCATCAAAAAGGCCGGTCTGAAAGCAGGGGATGTTGTTGCGATCAGCGGCTTGGGAGGACTTGGATATCTAGGTGTCCAGATAGCAAAGGCTTTGGTTCGCTTTACCAAACAGACTGAGGGATGCCGCTCACGCATGAGCTCAGGGATTGAAAGTTGTAGCAATCGATGCTCGACCAGAGCCTCTATCACTCGTCCGTGGACTACAGTCTCAGCTTCGACCAGACATCATTGTCGATGCTAGCTCGACAAAGGCAGAAGACATCGTCCAAGCGATCAGGACTCTTCGGAGTGACGGATACGCGGGCTGGGAAGGGGTTGACGGTGCGTGTCATCTGAATCGAAGAGAATGGGACTGATCATTAGTTCAGCATCCGTCCTTACATCACCCGCTCCATCTTCCTACGGTTATGCAGCCACTCTCACGCGGTCCCACGGTCTGCTGGTACTTCTAGCTCAGCCCCCAAAGCTCGAGTTTGAGTATCCTCTCTTCCTCGCCAAAGACCTGACTTTGAAAGGTTCACTACACGGCAACGAAGTTGATCTGAAAGAGACGGTGGAGCTATGCGCCAAGTTTAGCATCAAGTCGGATGTCAAGACGTTCACCGTTGATCAGCATGAGCAGATGTTGGATGAGGTCGAGGGCGACAACTGGAAGGGAAAAGCTGTCCTCTTGTTTTGAGTGTGATACCCCAAAGTCCTGTATGATCCTATGTGCATGCACAGCCCAGATGAATTGGACCCTATTCTTCTCTGCAGTCTCTGTAAGTCGAATGTGTACACTTTAAGCACTCTCGACCCTCTTCTTGTAAACAGTCGTAGCAACAACGATGGCCTCGTCAATCTTGCCAACCTCACTTCCAACACCAGTAGCACTGTCATCTCGTCCACCACCCTGTTCATGTCAGCTCAGATCCGATCGAGCTCGAGGACGACTTACCTTTCCACCAAGGACCTTGGCAACTTCATTCAGCCAGATCTTTGCGTCAAGCTTCTTCTCCGCGACGACTTCCTTGGGCAAGTAGTTGATGTGAGCAACCTTGCCAGTCTCGGGGTCGGCGCTGAAGGCGTAAATAGCCTTGCCGACGGCTTTACCAGCGGTAGCAGCAGCAGACAAGGTCTTGGAGTTGCCTCCGACGTCAAACGAGGCGGCAAAGACGTTCTCGTTGGGGTTCTCCTTGAAGTAGGCCTTGATTGTCTCGGTGACCTGCTTGGTGTGAGTCATGCCCGGAGAATAGGTGGAGAACTTACGATTTTGGAGTCGGCAGCAATCTTGGCCTTGGCAGCAGCCGCGAGCTCTCCAGCCATCTTCTCGAACTGCTCCTTCAAGATGCTCTTCTTGATGAGCGAAATACCGCTCTGGCCGAGCTCCTACATATCATTAGCTCAGACCAGACCCTCAAACAACAAGACTTACAGTCAAGAATGGCTTCATAGCAGCCTCCTTCTCCTTACCCTGCAGCCCCCTGATAGTCTCCAACCTTCTCTCATACTCGACAGCCTTCCTTGACACCTCATGGGCATCGTGGCCGGTCACAGCAACCACACGCCTGATACCCTTGGCGATCGAAGACTCCTCAACAATGACAAAGTCCTTAATATCATCCGTCTTGGCAACGTGGGTACCACCGCAGAACTCGATACTCGTGGTCGCCCACTTCTTGTCCTCAATGTTGGCAGCAATGTCTTCCAGAGGGAACCCGATGGAGACGACTCGGACGGGGTCGGGGTAAGCCTCACCAAAGACCGCACGCAGACCGGGGATCTTGTGCGCCTCGGCCAAAGGCATCTCCTTGGAGTAGACGGGCGCGGCCTTCTTGATCCATTCGTTGGAGATCTCCTCAATCTTGGTCAATTGGGGAACGGTGATGGACTTGCTGTGGGAAAAATCGAATCGGAGCTTGGTGGGCGCGACAAGGGAACCTCGCTGGTCGATGTGGTCACCGAGGACCTCACGAAGGGCAAAGTTGAGGATGTGGGTGCCGGTGTGGTTGTTACGGATGGGCCAACGTCGGAGCTAGATATTGTCAGCGCTACAGTATGTCTCTTTTGACCTACTCACCTCGTCGTAGGTGCAGATCACCTCGTCTCCAACCTTGATCTCACCCTCCGCAAGCTGGCCAACGTGCAAAACGTAGCCATTGTATACCTGCACGTCGGCAACCTTGAACTCGGCCTGGCCGTCAATGGCGAGCACACCAGTGTCGTACTCTTGACCACCAGACTCGGCGTAAAAGTTGGTCTTGTCCAAAAGGATACCAAAGACAGAGTTCTCGGGGAGTTCAGAGGTGGAAGAATAGAATTTGGAAGAGTGATAGATGCTCTTGACGGTGGCGGTAATGTCCTCACGTCCGTACTTGGCAGAGTCGTCGGTCTTGGGCACGGCGTCGTTGGCCTCGAGAGCGCCCAGGTCGTGCACGTCAAGCTTGACCTGCGCGCCGGCCTTCTCCTTTCCGCCAGCTTTACTGGCCTCGAGCGACTCGA